CACACGGTGGAGATCATCGGACACGACGGTCAAACTGTCATTGGCTACTCGACCAAATTAGGACGAGTATACTACTCATAAAGCCCAAAACATACCACCACTGCTGGTAGTGCTGCTGACATACTTGCGGGTGGAGAACGAGTGATCGTCCACAGAAACTCCTGAATCCGATGAAGCCTCCCGTCAGATATCGTGTCCAACAGTGAAATAAATACTGCGGTGATGCAAAGCCTCTTCGAGGGGTCGTACATAGAGGATAGCGGAGTCCCGTCGTCAGACGGTGGAAGGACTGACAGCCAGCTTTTAATGAGTGCCCAGGAACCCTTTGCTGGTGCTAGCACTCTATTGTCTGTTGTCTAATAGATTGATGCCAATTCTAACCTCATCAGCTATTTCAGCAGCTACCAACAATGCAATTGGTGGTCTTTAACATGCCGCTACTACTGAAAGACTACTTCGATTTATTATGAGGAAAACGCACTGGATAGACCGTAGGTGCTCTCTACACTTCGGTATGAACCAACGGCAATACAAGGCCGAGGGAACTAGAAATGGAGAGAAGTAGCTAACGTGAAATATGGTATCGTCCTTCTCGTCCCCATGTCTTTTTGGTCCTCGTTTACGTGTGACATACCAGTGTCCCCCTTCCCCTTTTGGAGGGCCTAAACAGCTACTGCTAGCACAAGAAATATATGCATTCCCGTCAAAGAAAGGGTGTTCAAAAATAATTTATTATATACAAACCACAAAATCGCTCGTTGCAACTTGGCTAAACAGTGCACAGAGTTAACGATTTTGTGCGAACAGCATTTTTCAAAAGTTCAACAGCCCTGGCCTTCAAATCCTCGTGCTGACCGGAGCTTACCAGCTCACACAACCTCGCCATGTAGGATTCGGCACTACTGATGGTGATACGCTCGAAACCCTTAGCACTCGAGGGCGAACGTGGCACGTCGCCGTTGGTCGGAACCGGTAACTGTCGATAGAAGTATAAGGACGGACTTCAACATACAAACGAAAAAAATCAATAGATTGTATCATATACTTCGAAAAAAGGAGTATGCCCTGACACAATAAAAATCTGCAGTGGCTAGGAGGGTAAAGAAGGAGCTTCCACTAGTCGAGAAAAATGAAGGCGCGTTGAGTACGGGATTACACGCCATTGGTGAAGTATGTTCAATATGAGGTTACGGAATCAATTTTTGAGTCAATATTTGGTTTGACTGGGGGAGTGTGTTAAGTGCTGTGCAATCCTACAGTTAAAACATAGCCTAAAACAAGGTCTGGAATACGTGGGAGCGGCACCCATGGGCCCGATCTACTTGCAGTGGGAAACAACCATTCGACAGAACAGGTTCATGGCCTCGAACAGCTTATGTTGTTTTGGTAGAGGGGGGACTCATCGATCGCGCTACGGGACTCACTCGTCCTGTTGTACCTTGGGGCTCTCTCGAGACTGGCCAGCGGCCACACAGCGGCGCGTAATATAGGCAGAATAGCCGGTAATGCCATTGCGTTGTCTTGTTGAGCCATAAGCAGGACTGCACTTCATCTATGTGGGCCCACACCGCCCCTACGGAGACTGAGTCACTTTTGCGCAGTTTACTTTTCAAGCGACCTTAACAGCCTTCCATGAGGCCTGTGTACTGGATCAACGACGTGTCTTGAATGGTTGACTGTATAGTGGCCATATCCTCCTGAAGACAGTGCTACCTAAATTTAATAAGTAGACACCCTAGCGGGATATAGTTGAGGGAGGACACTTGTTTCCGCGCTCTACCCAATAGGAAACAGCAGATAATTCCTCAAGGGCAGAAGGCAAAACACACACAAACACACCTCTGCAAAAGTTGCGGTGAGTTCCTTGCGAAACCTCTGAGTGAGAGCTTCCTCAGCAGCCAACTGGGCTTCCGTGCTTTTGATCTGTAACTCGAGTTTTGTGCTGGCGTTGGCCAAATTCTCAACGTGCTTACTGAGCAATGCGGTCTCTTCCTCGAGCTGTGTGGCCTGCAAAATGACATCAAACATGACAAAATTAGCCCATAAACATACGACCACCACCGTTAACTCCACTGGTTAAACACGTGAAGGAAAAACTAAAAAGAGAATGCCAGTAAAAGTGAGGGCTAAGGAAGACAAAGTATGACATGTCTAGTAGAAAGTGAGTACTGAGAATTCGGTTGAACGTGTTGGCGAAAAGTACCATCGGACCGAATGCCGCAATGGGGGCAGCGGTATTCTTACATACTTAATTTCCAGTTGTCGGCTTCAGTACCATTGGAGCGCCTGTTTCATCTTTGCTTCAAACAGATTGAAATTTTGCATAGCGAGCTGAGCGCCGGAGTGGTATCCGCTTAAAGATTCACGAAAGCAGACATTGACTGCATTTGAGCATACGCGTAGGAAATGTGAACGCTACAAACCAAGGAGCTCCGCGTCGGCTGCTGAGCGTTAACGGTTCGAAAAGGTAACACCGATAAACTGGAGCCGCCAGATCAGCAAGATAGAAGTTCACCTCAATATACTTCACAGCTTGTCGTATACGTGTTCAGAGGTACATGGTTAATGACTTATAGTCTCCTTAAGAACCACCACACCGAAAGAAAATTTACTGAGAAACACGAATGAGTAAAATCCAGCGAAAGTACCTCCATATCAGGCGGTAAGTTCCAGCATCGTTGCGATTACCATTGCCAAACAGAATAATCAGATCTAATGACGCTGTATAAGGCGGATCATATGATGGCCAACCCTATGAGGCGATCCATGAGTAGTCCAACTAAAGTCGTTTTTAAACTGGGTGAAGAAATCTCGTAAGGATAAACCTTACTTGCTGAACCTGATTTCGGTGGAAATGGAGGAGATGCGGAGACGCTGGGGTCCAAATACGGCACACGAAAACAGCTGACCCGTTATGGACAATATGGCTTCAGATGTCAGGAGAGGCACATGGTGAAACAGGATATTTGTGCCCTGCACACCATTTCAAGCAACACATCCAGATTGAGCATTTCATGACATTATCGGCACCATGAAATGCGACGGCCCAAAGCCTATGGCTCGGTACCAAGATCTCAGTTGTTCACGTCACACAAAATCCGTTCATTGAGAGTGAGGGATGGGAGCGAAGAAGTTATTTAAAAAGTGCTGCAACAGGATCCGTGAAGTACATTCTGTCAACCCTGGAAGATGTTGGAAAGCGAAAAGAGTGGCGCCTTCAGGTAGGCCTTTTGTTAAGATGCGGTTATGCCTTTCGGTATTTAGACCGGGAAATGAACAAATGCAAGAGTAAACCTGTGTGGTCCAGGGCAACGGCAGCTGGCCTTTTTGAAAAGTTTAAAACTAAAATAATGGCGACTTACACACGACTATTTATTGGTCGAGTTTTTGTTCGCCTACTTCTTAACAATTGGTCTATGCTGTAGTGTCGTCGTTACCCACTGAATACAAGCGTGAGATGTAGGGAGTGTTCAATTAGGAGGTACAGGCGTAAGAGTGATGGGTCTTGCAAGTAGTGGTCTTTCTGCACTGCTTTGTTTAGCAGCCACACTCCGGCAACCGCCGTGGCCGACTGGCTAGACCAAGTGATGGCGACTGGTGAGCGTCCCCATAAGCGGTATTCCACTCACTAATCCCTGTCCACACCCTTCCCCCAAATAAAAAAATAAGCTGGAGGGTCGTCTACCAATTCAACAAAAAAGACGACCCATAACGGAACCTGGCAGCCGCCTGAGATATCTAGGCAGCTTTACTTGCGGGATAGTAAGGTTTACTCCGTCGTTGCGGAGGAAGGGTCAGATAAGTTACTATAAACAGCTGCTGGATAGTCACGCATCTGTAGGCTAATCGCGGCTTGTGGACACGAAAGAAAGGACGGAACATTGGGGAAGGTATAAACCCCTTCCCCACTCTCGTGCTCTCACTCAGTCTGCCAGAGACCGTTAACTCTAACAGTCTGAAATGTTTGCTTTCATTTAGACAATCTATTGGGCAAACGACCGCAAAGATGGACTGTTGGAGCCGTATTTGTCGTTAGAACCGACATTGTGAGACGACTGCCCTGTCACCAGAGGGGAATCAGCGATCGTCTCATGACAAGAAGGCCATTACTCTGCGCAAACACATCTGCCATCATCTTCAATGCTCATGCCCTCAGTGATTAACTACGATGACGTGACGAACAAGTTCTATGAGCATCAAAAAACTCCCTGGGGAGAATAACCACAGATGCATTTCTGCCTTTCACTGTCAGGAAAGAAGCACCGTTTGAAAAGAGTAAGGGATTGCTAAAGAATTGAGTAAGACATCTACTTGGTGTGAGTTTTGTGCCCAGGGGACGGTGTTTTCGACCTTGCGACAACCGCCAACTAATATTATGAAAGGCAGTACCACCTCGCAATTACAAAACACCGAACTGATTAGGTTATATGCACGCATAAACTTACTCCCGTACATGTTGGGAAGCCAGGCAATTTTGGTGACTCCACAGTTTTCAGCAGTTCAAAAGAAACAGTCGGAAAAAGTAAAAAACAAAGTAGAAGTAGATAAACAGGTCTCCTTAAACTTCCTCCACTACTTTCTAGCACTGAGTAACGGCAATGGTCTCCTTAAAACGGGAAGGACCCGAGTAGGCAGAAATGTCCGTTGTCGTGCAGAGCCAACTAGTTTGTTCTCTGGTAATGGGTAAGCGGGTTTTTTAATTACCTACCCGGCTGATTGAAGCATGGTTAAAGACCTAATTGGCCAACAGTTGTTTCCCTTAAGCTCGTAAAGCACCCGTAAAACAATCCTGGCTCAGCAGGTGCCGTACCCGATAACCGATGTCTTCCACATACAGAGCACCTATTAAGAGGAGCTCACAGCATGTATAAAATCCAAAAGAATTTGCCGACAAAAACCAAATAACTGGACCTTCCAGTTTGCTTTATAAATCCTGGCTAACCTGCTTCCGGAGATTCCGTAGAGTCATTTCCCGCTGTCGATTGTATGCAAGGAATTCCTCGCTAAAAATGGGTATCCTGTAAGTTTTTGGAGGACTAGTTGTGTCAGTCTCGGGTTCATGAGTTCGTTTCCCCTTAGGTCCTCGCTTGCCCGACTTTGGGGAAAGTGAGGCCTTAAGGCCCTCCTGTTTCGCTTGCCAGTCCTTGAAGGCCTGCGTTTGTTTGTAGGCTTCGAGGTCGGCTTTGTACTTTTCTCGTTCTCGGGAGGCCTGCTCGTTGAAAATTTGCTTCTGTTCGGGTGGCAGAGTGGCCCACTCGAGTCCGATCAAACGGTTTCTCTCACCGAAGGGCTTAGATGATAAGGCCTCTGACTGACTAATGCGATGACGCATATACAAATTGAAGGACGATCTCGGTCGAGTCGGAGCATTCGGATCGGAGGCCTTTTTCAGACGAGCCATTACTGATGCCAAGTACCCTAGACGTGGAGAACGGAAAGAAGGACTGAAAAGACAATCACTGGACTAATAAATTTAAGCTGAGATGATTGCCAGGACTGCGTAGTCCTGCATCGTGTCTCACTACTGACACGTGGCGCGATGCGTTGAATTCTGATTTGCCAACGCCATATAAAATGCTGCGAGGCCAAATGACGGCACTGTAAAATGGGAATCGTGAGACGTCATCGAAAGAGTTCTTCTTGGCACTACTTTGTGGGTTGGATGTTCATCTAAAAAACAACGCGCAAAATTGGGGATAGAACTTGTACGAGGCACTTCAAACTCCGTGAATATGTAAGGTCTTCAACTGTGACTCAAATGATGTTACGGTGCCCACGACAACTGACGCGTCACGGTAGTTAATGACACATGTATGTTAACCTGTTTGGCGTATAGAGAAAGCTGTGCCAGAGCAGTACCAGAGTCAAAGTTGTTTTACCCTCGGAAATGCGTCTACTAGATCACTACCTATGCAGCACCAACGTATCAAGTATCGGCAGATGCTGCTACCCTAATCATAGTAGTGTAACTAATAGCTAAGGTCGACATAGTGTCGCAGTCACTGGCGGCGTCGTTAGGACTCTCGTTTGCACGTCTGTGTGATAATGCAGTCGCGGGGTTGGACTTGTCGCCTTATGAAAAACAGTGCTGGGCGCTGGTGGGTTACAGAGGCAGACTTTCCATAGCCAATGGCCAGGCACAAACTGCTTATTCTTGAGGAAGATCTGAATGTCCCATCAAAGCAATGCAATGTGTTTACAAGGCGCGGCTTTGGTCACTACGTGGTGGCAGACCATGGCAAGAAACGCCACTTATGCTAAGAGAGGCCACCGTCAAACTGACTGCGTATCTGTCCGCGTCTGTTGGACGGTCCTGTGTTAGACGCCGGTTTGGTATGCAGTGCCGAAACGGGCAGTCAGAACGAACCAAACCCCGGCAGGGGCTCCGTTCGGAATCAGCTTATGTGTTTTCGAGAGCGCGTAACGTGCACAGAAATACAATGCTTACCATCCTGAGGGCCTTTTGGGTCCACGCCCGCCTACCTCCAAATGCTTCGTCGCAATAACGGCTACAAGGCGCCCTCAAAGTAAGAAAAGTATTCCTCAAAACATCGCACAGACGCTAGATCAAAAGAATCGTCATTCAGAATGGATGTCTAGTAAGTGATCTGAACGTCTGACAGTGCTTAGACGCACCAGATAGCGGTGACAAAAGGTTGCCTTCGATTCCGAAAGAGCATAAACATGTAGTAATTGCACTCCAGGAAGATAGGATGCCCTGAGAAGGCATGCTCCGCAGATTATGGTTCAGCCTTTTCCTTAGCTGCCTCCCAGCGTCAAGTGACCCCTGAATTGAGTATTATTAAGCACAATCATTATGTTTCAGTAGAGATCGCTTATGCTTAAAACTGCCCAAATGTGTAACCTGACTGTCGATATGACCCGATTTACATTTAGAAAAAGCACCATATCCACTAACTAACTAAAAACTATCAAGTTAACCCTCGAAAGAGACAAATAACCGCGCACAGTCGCATTGGTCTCCTTGGACGTGCCGCTGAGTCCTTTTTAACTACTCCATCTGATGTTGCGACTGGAAGACAGGGAGAAGCAGCAGAGCCAACATTAGAATGAAACGGAATGTAACCCTGTCTACTGCGGTTCTCTGAGATCGAACGTGCTTCATGACGGCATCATACTAGAGCTACTACAACCGATAAAAACACTCCCAGAAAACAGAAACCAAGGCCCACGCGTGCAACAAGCGAAGTGAATTACCTTACGTTGCCCCCAGGGCAAGTCAGAGACGTTTATTGGTCAAGATCATTTAATTATACGACAGTCCGGATTCTCCAACGTGTGTTGGCGAACCAGCCTGGCATACCGTGGGCGATTGTGCACGCACTACCGATTTTGAATACATCGATGACGCTGCGATACTGGTCAAGTTCTTCCAGGCATATAACACTAAATTCCCAAGAATGTTTTGAAGGCAGTTGCGGAGGACTCAAAAGTAATTTTCAAATCAATGGAGACTGAAACTTCGGCTTTTGCCGCATGGGTGGCCGCCCGGTTGTAAGATACGATGGAGCAACTGAGGAAGGGGGGGTTTCCAATACCTCAGGTCAAACTTTATTACAAAGCGATAAAGTAAAGAGGGGGCCAAGCACTTGCCTAGGCGGACACACGCGGCCCAAAATCCATGGAGACAGCATGAGATAAAGCCAAAGAGCGAATATACGAACTTTCGGCCGAAAAATTTCACACGAACACTAGACGTTATATTCCTACCTTCGAGGTGTTCGACAAATAGTGCTTGCACCCCTTCGCCTTTTTAAAATAGTGTTTCAGACGAACGACAAAGTACTCAGTCAGGGACACAGCTGGCCGCTTTTCTTGGCAATCAAACTCGATAATGGGCGTGTGGACGTGGAGGCGAAGTCGGACGTACCCAACCACGAGGTGCGCAACCCCTGGGGCTCAATCCCACAACCTTTTGGTTAAAAGTCCAACGCCCAAAACCACTGAGCCACAGACGTCTACCACTAATGCATCAGTGGCCGCTCGGACTCCATAGTGTCTTTTTGGCGTTTTGCAACGAAAGACGACGTCGGAGTCCGCCAAAGATTGTTCTGAAATATTTATGAGAACTCTGCAACTGTACTCTGCGAGTTACCGTTTATTTCCCTACTAACGTTGTAAATGTGTCAAAACTATTTACGAAATATATTGTTGTTTTTTGTGAAGCCCGTGTAATTGTACATATACACACACATATGTGTGAATTAGCATGGAAAGATTGGTAACAAAATGAATCCACTCCTACCCGACAAGGAAATTCGCCAGTCCGCCGTTAACGGTGAGCGGGGAGAAGCTTCTCCCCCTAACGTCTGACACTGGACCCGAGCGCGTGTATGGTCGGTCGGGCAAATGACGCGCCTACTTTAGACGGCAAAATGTACAAACCCCTAATAACATTTAGGCGCCCAGGGCTAGACATTTACTGGCCTGTTTGGATTTGCGGACTAGTGCAGGGCTATTAATCTAATTGGCTGACAGCGCGTGCGATGCCAGGTACACGAAAGAATTCCTGTGCGGAGAGATTGTCGAAAAGTCAGCCAATCGCAAGACTAGGTCGCGACCGGGCTAGCCCTGGACGACTAAAACGCCATCCAGTGGCTAGAGCGTTGGCTGTGTTAAAGATCTCCCCTTGCTGTCGAGGGTTCACATCCCACCGAGGCACAGAGTTTTTGACAGTTGGGTCAAAATGAATTATCTGAAATTTGCCATAACCATAAGGGACGGTCAAAATCGGCGACACAAGATCGGTGGAACAGTCGTGTCCCGGCTTTCAGCTAACACTTTTGCCACCGGTATGGCAATGCATCTAATACCAGCCAATTTACTGAAAACCGGCGGAAATAACATAGAAAACTAGTGGCAAAACGGGATGTTGAAGCGAGCGGGAGGACTTGAATAAACGCAATACAAAACGGTATATAAAAACAACACTTCTGAGTGACCGTAGAAAAAAGGTCATCGACGACACCAAGCATGAAGATGATAATCCTCTCGTGCGCAGGGCATTACTATGAAAACGTATATCACGGATAAGCTGAGCCTTATTTAACTTTTCGCGTAAGCTCTTGACTGTCGATTCATTCACTAAGCGGACTAGTTGTCAAGCTCACTTTAGGTTCTCCTGTTCGTACATTCTAACTTTGAATTTCCGCAAGTTGAAGAAAAAACTTATGGCAGTAGGCGTTGAGGATGTTGTAGCGTCTATCTATTGTTTACGAACACAGTTCCAGGACCATCGAACGCAAAAACCATAACTGAACCACCACTGCACATGAATCGGAACACTGTGAACAGCGTCTCCTCTTAGCAATGGGGAAATATGCTAGAGCCAAGTGAACTGACTTTTTTGTTTTAAGAAAGTGGAAAAAGCACACATAGGTCCGGTCAAAGTGGCAGCGCTGCTTACACTCTACTTTTTGGTTAGAACATCTTCCGTCGAGGCCATTGCTTCATCCGCCGTAACGACCTCCAGTCCCACGTCCCCCTGTTTTGCCCAATAACTGACTTGGGATCTGATATGCAGGAAATCCTCACGGATCAACTGCGAACGTTGATTTTATTGTCCCTCGTGTATTTTCTACTTGGTAATTATTCTACCCTCATCAGCACCCACTTTGTACGTAGACTGTCCCCAATGTTCATTTCTGTTTGACGATCGTTAGGTTGCTCATAGTGGGTTGGTATTGCTTCTGTGAAGACATGTCGGCACAGGACCCAGACCAACCCACGGCCAAAATATTCATTGTTAGTACGGAAGAGAAGAGCGCCCAAGATACGACAGGCATTACATATTAGCGTCACGTTAGAATAGCTCAGCGTCAGAGTGATGAGTTGGTGGGGTGATTGCAGGATTTGTGGGCGCCTGGGATTTGCGTGTGCGCACTTTACGACCGCAGGGAACCATTATCACATCATTCATAGCGCGACGTAGGTTCCAAAGACTGTCGGCCTATGCACGTTTTAGAAACTACAACTCAACCATAGATACTAAACAATGTGCGGGGTTGGCAATGAAGTGAGTGATTGAATCTAGTACAAATGTGGGTTTAAGAGCTTATCCAACGTTATGGGACTTTGTCGAATCAGGGGGGAAGACTGATACTGCAACCAGCACAGAAGTTCAGTTGGAATACCAGCCAGAAAGTGTGCTGGCGTGATCTCACCAACGTGTTTCACTTAGTTACCATGTTGGTATGAGAGGTAAGAGGCTTGTCGGACAAAATGTATACCAGTGGATGCTGACACAGACTAATCCATCAGTAGAGAATTTCGCTGTCGTCTGGACTCGAAGATGGGGTAGACGTGCAATTTTTTTCGAATGCCGAGCGTTTCGTCGACCTAGTCACAAAAGTGTGCAGTAGATATGTGGAGAAACCGCGT